CACACACTCTCTCTCTCACACACACACACACACACACACACACACACACACACACACACACACACACACACACACACACACACACACACACACACATCCTCACACACACATGGCCCCCACCCCCACTCCTCCACCCCCAGGTGGAGCTCAAGGTGCTGGAGCACCTGACCTCCCACGACCCCGAGGACGCACATAACATCATCCACATTGGGGAGCACTTCACATTCAGGAGCCACCTCTGCATCACGTTCGAGATGCTCAGCATCAACCTGTGCGCAGGGAGCAGGCCGCGGGAGAGGCGGCGCTGCCCGCTGGTGCCAGCTGCACACCTGACTTGGCACGTGGACAACTACGACCACAGGCTGCTGCTGCTGCTGCTGCTGCTGCTGCTGCTGCTGCTGCTGCTGCTGCTGCTGCTGCTGCTGCTGCTGCTGCTTCTGCTGCTGCTGCTGCTGCTGTGGCTGCTTGTACCTCTCTCACATCACGTACTGTCAGCACCCTGCTGCCTGGGGCAGAACCTTGCATCAGCCACATTTTTCAACCCCATGGCTATGCCGACCACCCCCTCCACGCCGCTCCCACCTCCGTTCTGTCCCCGCCCATTGGCTCCAGGTACGAGTTCATAAAGCAGAACAACTTTGCGGGACTCAGCCTCAACCTCGTGCGGCGCTTTGCTTCCCAGATGCTGCAGTCGCTCAAGTGGGTGGCGCCCCCGGCAGGGGCAATCTGCGATTTTGGGTGTGTCTGCGATGTTGCTGATAAATCGCTTGCATCGCTGCATCACAAATACAGCTGTCTCACTCATTCCAAGCTGATGTTTGTTACAGCCCATATCTGTCACACAACACACTCGTACGCGCGCACAACACACACACACCCACACACACACACACCACAATTCAGCGCATTAACAACCCCTTCATTACGCACTCCGCCCCTGCAGGTTCCTGCGCCAGCATGACCTCATCCACTGCGACCTTAAGCCGGAGAACGTGCTGCTCAAGAGCCAGCACCGCAGCGCCATCAAGGTCATCGACTTTGGCAGCAGCTGCTTCAGCGAAGAGCGCGTCTACACCTACATCCAGTCGAGGTGCGCGCGCCACACCCCACCCCTCCACCCCTGCAGCATGGCCCACGGCTGTGCGGGCGGCCGGCCAGCACCTGCTGCGCCTGTTGCGAATTGCAGTGTGGCACTGCCCAGCACCCTCAAGCTTCGCGCGGACATCAACACACATCAACACATGCGCCGATCTCATCGTCTCAGCCCACCCTAGCTGATAATTTGTAGGGCCCGGGACAGACGGCAGGCAGCCCATCAAACCCCCGGCGCCGCCCCTCCCCCAGGTTCTACCGCAGCCCCGAGGTCATCCTGGGGCTGCCCTACGGCTGTGAGATCGACATGTGGTCCTTCGGCTGCATCCTGGCGGAGCTGCTCACGGGGTACCCCCTCTTTCCGGGTGGGCGGGGCCGGACGAGACCAGACAGGCGGAGGGGATGCCTCGGCGTAGGGGGTGGCGTCCAGGGGCACGGGGCGGGCGCATGAAGGGGCGCGGAGCCCTTTGGGTTGTGTGCCAGCAGCTGAGGGTGCCACACTGGCGTGCACCTCATGTACGTCGCGACAGCGGCCCGCCCTGCACGTATACCCATGACCCCTGCCGGCTCCCACCCCGCCGCAGGCGAGGACGAGCACGAGCAGCTGCTGTGCATCACCGAGGTCATGGGGCTGCCGCCGCGCCACCTGCTGGACACCGCGACGCGCCGCAAGGTGTTCTTCGACGCCAACTGGGACCCCATCATACGGCCCAACAGCAAGGGTGAGCGCCAGCAGCCCCTGCTGCACGCCGCGCATCTGGGGGCTTGGCTCTGTGCACACATGGGTCAACGCATCCAGAGGGCGGCGTCGTGGCTAGGCCTGGGGCGGCCCTTGCTTGATCGGCAAGTGCTTGGCAGCCTCCTCCTTGCATCGACGCTCGTGTGGCGCCCTGAGCTCTCACTCGACCACAATGACTCAACCCCCTCCCCTGACCCTTGGCCCCCGTCACACACGCCTCCCCCAACCTCACGGCCCCATCCCCCCCCTCCCCACACACACTGTCACGCGTGTCACCCCTACCAGGCAAGGTGCGCAGCCCCGCGACCAAGACGTTGTATGGCGCCCTGCGCTGCAACGATGCGGCCTTCATGGATCTGCTGGAGCGCTGCCTCAGGTGTGTGTGTGGGGGGAGGGGCGGGCGCTGCCGCTGCGAAGTGCAGTTGGGCTCCCAGCTTTGAAATTGAGTTGCCCTGTCCCTCAGGGGAAGGCCCGGGTTGCCGAGAAGCCGACCCCCTGCCGTGGCTGCTTGGCGCGGAGGCAGCGGATCGCTCTGCGCCGACCACGACGCCTTCTTTGCCGATGGGGGCTGCCCGCGCCTCCGCAGGTGGGACCCCGCTGAGCGCATCACGCCTGCAGATGCGCTTCAGCACCCCTGGTTTGCGGAGCTAGCCGCACAGCAGCAGCAGCAGCAGCAGCAGCAGCAGCTACGGCCGACGAGCAAGGCCGCACCCATGTCAGGGCAGGCCACGCCGGCCGACAGCGGGACCCCCGTCCGGCAGAAGCCTCTGCAGCAGGTGATGGCAGCAGCGGTGGCCGCAGCCGCGGCGGCGGCAGGCCTCCCCGTGGCGCACGCCCAGCCGGTGGCGGCAGCCAGGGACACGACGCAGAGCGGCACCGACCGCACCCCGAGGGGCGGCGCCCACGGCGGCCAGTTGGGCGGCGTCGTCGGCGGCCGGCTGCAGCTGCAGCAGCAGCGGGCCGCGGGCGCGCTCGACGCGTCCAACGCAAGGGCGGGCGCGAGCGACCAGATGCCGTCGTCAGCCGCGCCGTTGCCCAAGGCGCCGGCGGCGGCTGGCGGGGCCCTCTCTCACGACGCGGCCGCGGCCGGGCGGCCGGGGCAGCAGGAGGCGCCGCGGCTGGTTGTCACCGGCCAGCCCGCGCTCGCCAAGGCGCAGGCGCAGGCGGGGGTGGGGGATGCGGCCGGCTCTGGCGTACTGGGCCGCCTGCTGCTGCCGCACCTTCGGCGCTGAGCCGCCCCTGGGCTGACCCGCCTTGGTCATGGCTGTCGGGGACATCCGACGCAGCAGGGGGTTCGTTGTGGTGTGCGCCATGCGAGCCCCACCCGTCAAACCAGGCAGCTTTTCTTTTTGCACGCGCTGCCTGCGCGCGGCAGCGGGCGGCGCCCTCTGCGCCGAGCACTCTTGCAGGACTCCCCAACCCCGCTGCTTCCGCGCCACTTTGTGAACATAACCTTGATTGTCCCCTGCTGCGCATACCACGCCCCTGCTCCCGCCCCGGCCAGCGCTCGTGCCGCGTGGGCTGTCTTGAGACACAGACGGCGGGGCGGAGCACGCAGGGGCGGCAGCTGATGCGCGGCCCGCGCGTTGAAAGGCACGCCCAGCGACGACGACGTGCGTGCGGGAGCCCACCCTGCTAATCGTCAGGGTTGCTTTGCCCCAGAGTCAATCGCTTCTTTGCTGCACCTCCATTGTGAACGCGGGTGGCAACAGGTGCGGTGTGAGGGTCTCCTCTTGGCCTGCCATTCACCCACCACGCAGCAGCATAGACGACCGCAGCCAGAGCAGCACACCACCTTGCAGGCAGTGAGAGGTCCTGCAGCGCGCCATGCCAGGCGCGGCGACACATCAGCAGTAGTACCAGGTTATCTGCGTATGCACGCGCGCCGCGAAGAACGACAATACCTTGGCATGTGGCAGGCTTGCAGGCAGGCCGGGTAGCAGCCGCCTCATTTCCAGAGGGCGCCTTGGCGCGCCCCTGCAGCTGCTGGTGTAAAACGGCAACTCATGGCTTGACCGCCTGGACTGCGCTGTGTAGGGCAGCCGTTACTAAGCGAGGTGACCCAGAGGGCGAAATAGGCGGGGCGCAGCGCAGTATGTGCAGCAGACGTTGTTGCCGCATCCCTCCAGGCTGTCACGGGTTTCTGAGGGAATCAAGACTGCTTCGTGAGCGTATCGCGGGCGCTGGCTATCCCAACCTCATGTAATGTAGTGCAATTGCAAGACTGCATCGATGGCCGATCAAATGGTCGTCAGGCTCTGGCCAGCTGGTCAATGAGATGGCCAGCAGGCCGGGTTGGCTGGTGGGTCAACCGCGCATCATGTCAACTTGTGGCTTGCTCCCTGCTGCGTAAATCGCTACTGATAGAGCCTGTAAGTAGATGATATCCTGAACCAAATTGAAAAACTTCAGTATGTACATGGTCACACAGGTCCCCGGCTTCCCAGCCTCGCGCACATGGTGGTGTAATGGGCTCGCATGTTATGCCCCAAGTGCACAACGCAGAGAAATCATGCTGCAAACTACAAAGCACCTTTAATCATTGTGATACAAGGAGCCCTCAGCAGGACAAACTTGCATTTGCCCCACAACTTGCAGCACAGCCCGCAAGACACGGCCTCCCCGCGGACGTCCCAGCAGTGATACACCACAACCACAGCAAATTATACGATGTCACAGGTATATTTCCGCCGCGTTCCGCTCAGCCCACGGCTGTCGCCCCGCCACGGCCCCCAGGGAGTGACGGCGTCCCATCAACTCATGCGCGCAGGGGGCCGATGGTGAGATGGCGCCCCAGCATGGGGACGCCCAGGACGAGGATTACCTGGTCAGTGATGACTTCAGAATGAGGTGGGTCCATAATATGCCCAGAGGGAGTCTTGGGGAGGGAGGGGCGCTGCTCCAACCAGCCTGTTGCCCAGGGGGTTGGGCAGGCAGCCGCCGGCCGCCACCCACGCAGCTGGCTGGCCGCCCCGGTGGCACAGCGACGACCACTCACTGGATTATCCTGAACTTGCTGCTTGCTGGCAGGCGCTACAAGGTTGCGGACTGCGACAAGGTTGCCCCCCACGACTGGTGCGTCGGGGTTATGGCAGTGGGATGCATGCATGGCCTTCCATACCCGTGCATGTGCCCCACACCCACATGTGCCCGTCTACGCACACACTCTGCCATTACCAACAGATTGCATGACCTGCCCGCGATGCCAATATGTCTTATTGCCTGCAGGAAGAACTGCCCCTTCGCCCACCCCAACGAGCGCGCGCGGCGGCGTGACCCCTACAAATCCGGTTACTTCTCCGACCTGTGCAACTTTGCGCGCAACGGCACGCCCTGCCCCAGGGGCGACCTGTGCAGCCTCAGCCACAACACTTTTGAGATGTGGTGAGTGTGGAAGCTGTCATGGTGATGCAATGTGGCTTTGGGCCGGGCGAGTCGACGGCCATGTGCCGGCGGCCAGGGGCCAGGGCATGACGTCGCCCCGGCCGCCACCATGCGGGTGCAATGGGTCCGGGGTTGCTGTCGTCCGACGGCCTCATCCCCTGCCATAGTCTCCCTCCCCCCAGCCTGGCACTAATTGTATTGCACATTGTATAAAATATTTTTTCCGGATATGACCGGGCACCCTCGGGCGCGCTGAGTGACCGCTCACCTTGCCTTGACGTGTGCCCTGCTGGGTCCCCATCGTGTTCCCCCCCAAATTCACCCTGGACCGGCCCACTCCGCAACCACCCCCCAGGCTCCACCCGGACCGCTACCGCACTCAGATGTGCAAAGACGGCACCGCATGCGACCGCCAGGTGGGACACAACCCTCTGTTCTGCGATGCTGCTGAGTCAGCCGCTGCCACAACATGTGCGCCACAGCTCTGCTGGGCGCCCTTGCCCACCCAGCAGCCTTGCTTGGCGTTCCCTCCCACGTATGTCACAGTCCTGCTCCTTAACCCTTCCCTCATGCACACCCCCCTCACCCCATCACGACTCCTGCAGATCTGCTTCTTCGCCCACACCCCAGAGCAGCTACGCCAGGTGTCCCGCTCCGGCACCCGCGCCGCTGCACGCCTGGCGCAGGCCACCGTTGACGAGCAGCTCAAGGAGCAGCAGCAGGGCAAGGCGGCCCTGGCCAGCAGCGGCGGCAGCGCCAGCATCAGCGTGCCGGCTGCGCCGTTTTCGGCGTCGGGCAGCCTGCGGCAGCGGGAGCTGAACCAGCAGGCATCTCAGAAGCAGCAGCAGCAGCAGCAGGATGACATGTTTGTATCGAGCAGCCCGCTCTCTTCTTCCAGCATTGCAAGCAGCATCGCCTCGGCCGGCCCCGCCGACCTGCCGCCAGCTGCACTGGCCGCGGCGCTCGCGTCCTGGCAGCTGGGCAGCGGCGTCGGCGCCCCGCCCGGGCTCGGCGGCGCGGCGGTGGGCGGGCCTCCCAGCAGCGGCTCGGGCTCGCCGACTGCTTCGGGGCCGTCGCTGCCGGCGCTTGCACGCAGCTTCTCAACCGGGAGCGTCTATGGCGGCGCGTCTTTCGGCTCCACGGCTTCATCCCTGGTCACATCCAACCCCTGGCTCGCGGGCCCGCAGCTGCAGCAGCACGCGCAGCAGCAGCAGCAGCAGCAGCACTCGCCGCTGGCCAACGCGCAGCAGGCCGCCGCAGCTCTTGGGGGGTACCCGCTCGGCGGTGCGGCGGCAGCGTGGTCGCACGCGGCCCCCTCGAACGACGTGCTGCAAGCGCTGCTGCTTGAGGCAGAGGCGTGCCGCCACGCGGCTGCGGCGGCGTCCGCAGCAGCTCTGCAGGCGCATGCCGCTGCTGTCAGTGGCGCGGACCGCGCGGCTCTGTATGCGAGCCAGCTGTGCTCCCCGCCCGGCGGCGCGCAGCTGGGCGGCCCGCCCGGTGTGCTGCCGACCGCGTGCACTCCTTCGCTGCTGGATGGATCGGTTGTCGCCGGCGGCGGCGGTGCTGCGGCGGACCCTCTGGCGCTGGGCGGCTCCCTGCTGCGGGGCGGCGCGGGCGCACATGCGCATGCGCGCGGGCGCGGCAACGTTCGGGGTCTGACGTACTGGGGGCGGCCCGTGTCCGACCAGGCGTCGTTCATCACGGCGATGCTGCAGGAGCCTCTCACAGGCGCCCAAGGCGCGGCGACCGGCTGCGCCGCGGGGCTGGGGGGTGGTGTGGGCGATCTGCTGCCCCCCTTCGACCTGCTAGGGGGTCAGATGGTGCTGCATTAGCGGCGCCTTCTGCATGGGCTCCCCCGGTCGCCGCGCGCCCTCAGCGTGATGTTTCACAGGGCGCGTTGCCATGCACGCAGAGCTCTTGCGCCTCTTTTGTTGCTCCCTCACGCCCGCCCTGTGCTCATGCTGCTGGCCTCGGGCCGCGCGGCTGCACGTCCATGCACCTCACCATTATCTGGCCTGCCTGCACGCGAAGCGCATTGGTGGGGCGACGAGGGGCGCTTGCTGCTCGTCGCGCTGCCGTCCCCGCGTGCGCGCGGCCCATTGTTCACCGGCCCAGGTCTGTTGGTCTGCGTGCCCTGCCAGGGCCCTCCACTTTGGGCCCTGCTTGTCTTGCCTCAGCACTGCGCCTTTCAACACACTACCAACCCAAATATTCATCTGCAGCGCCCGCGCACGCCCCACTTTATGGCCCGGCCTCTCAGCTCGCGCACGCGTGTGCGCGCTGCGGGGGGGAAGGACAGCCGATTCCTCAGGCTGCCAACTTCGATAAGATGACGCGGCGAACGGTGTATTGCCGCGCGCGTGTGCTTGGATTGCTTGTCAGTTGCCATAGCACCTGCCACACACTGGTGTTGTGTCGCGCCAGAATCGGGGCTGCAGAAGGGGTGGCCCAGGCCCTTTCGGCCGTGCTTGCGCATTGCCCTTGCTTCAAGGCGCCTGCTGGCTGCACTTGCGTGTGCCGCGACGGCCAGGTTGCGCAAGCGCGGCAGGGCTCGCCCCCACCCGAGTGACAGGCACGACCATGCTGCGCGAGCGTCGCCTGCAACCTCTGCTGCTCTTGCAATGTCGTCTGCTGCTGCTGCTCCCCCACATCAATACACGTGCCCTGTGCGCAGCAACAGGCTGAGGATGGCGCGCCCATTTGAGCGCTGCGTCCATGCACCCCAGGGTGCCCGCTGCTGCCTGGCCCCTGGCCCAGACGCACTCCAGCCCCTGGGCCTGCCTCGAGGGATGTCGATACCACAACATGCAAGACTGATGTGGAGTCCGCACTGTGCCCAACGTTGATGACAGATACTCATGGACTGAGAACCAATTTGAGGGTTTATGGAAGCCACGCACAGCACGTGCGTGCACCTGCGGCCGCCTCCTGATTGGAGATGAGTGCAGCTACTGTGCTGCCTGCTCTGATCTGTTTGGATCATCCCTGAACTTAACACCAGGGGCTGGTCCACCACTCATTCGCGGCCTGCTGCATTTTGCTGGCCTGCTCTGCTACCCGCAAGTGGCACGGCTCCGCCTGAGATTCAAGTGAGGGAAGCGCACACAGCTGTGCTCTGTGTAACCTTGACCACCTTTGACCAGGAGACAATGCAGTAGTGTTGCAAACTCAAGCATGCAAATGGGGTGGGTTCAGGGCCTTCCGGGAAATGGATATGCAACATGATGCGCAATCAATTGAAAACGTGATCACATGCATCCTGCTTCTGTACCTGGGGTGATCCATTGCCATGCACTTGCCTAAAACTCAGTCCAAGGTGCTCCTCGGGTATGCATGCTGCACGCATGTGAATTTGCAGGTTGCAGGATGACGCTGTAGAGATGGCGCCAAACGACTCCGAGGAGCGCTGTCCGGATGCAGTGTGCGGCAACGCATGACAAAGCATTGCCTGCATAAGTGCGGCACAGGGGCTTCCGTGGCCGCTGGCGGTTGTGATGGGCGATCAACGCGCTTGTTCACGATCCGTGTGGCCAAAGATGAAGTCTATCTGCCATGCGAAGTGAGGCACAGTGTTGTGGCCCTTAGATGGCCCCTCCCCCCAAAAGATAAGGTATGCATGTTGGGCCCGACCCGCACCACCCTCCAACAGTGGTGTTGTCACAATGCAGGTGCCAACTGCACAAGCTGCAGCCATGAATTGAGAGCTGAGGCCACACCAACGTGCATGACTTTCTCCGGTTTGCAGGCCCACCATGCAATGCAGAGGCGCTTAGGTGCATGAACACAGCCCGTGTTCCAGAGCAGCTCCCACAACCAGGGACTGGTTGAGAAAATGAAGTGGTGGTGCAAAGCTCCTTGCGAGCGCCTTTGGTTGTGGCGGCGGCCGCCTTCAGGCAGAAGTGTTTGGCAGTGCATGAACGCCATTCAAATTGATGTGACAACAGGGCGTGTGCGCAGTACTGGATGCTGTAAGGCGCATGGCAGTGTGGTGCACACTCCACGAAGAACACGCGTCCACACACATCACGAAATTGCGACAGCAGAGTGCAGGAACATGCTTGTGGTGTGGGCCAGCCGCACCTTCCCAGCAGCCACGGCCCTGATGAGGACGAGGTGTCTCACCTGTCCTCACAGCCGCTGCTCATGGGCGAAAGGCGGTGCAAGGGCAGGTGCACGCATCTACCCAGGCACTACCTCCCCAACCAAGGCGCACCCGTGCCATTGGGGCCGCCCGCGGCCGCAGCCCTCGTGAGCTTTTCAAGAACCAATGCTGAGAACGCCAGCGCCTCTGGGTTTACGGGCGGCTGCTGCTCTGCACAGCTAATTGCGCTGATTCCAGTGTGCGCCGCCGCTGCTGCAGCATTTGCAGAAAGCCTCATGGGGTGCTGAAGCAGTGAGCTTCCATCTTCGCAGCCCCGCAGCAGCGCCGCCGCTGGCGTGCAGCCCGCCAGGAGCGCGGCCTGGGCCTGCGCCTCGCCCTCAATCGCTGCCGCCTGCGCCTGCATCGCTGCTGCAGAGGCAGCCGCGGCATTGCCGCACGCCTCTGCCTCAAGCAACAGCAACCGCAGCGCCTCTGGAGATGTGTCCTCCGGCCAGAAGCGCGCAGCCAGTGCGCCGCCACCCGGCACCACAGCGGCATGCAGGTCGGTCACTGCGGCTCCAACAAGGCAGGGGAACGGGTCGTTTGTGGGCCCGGCAAACAACCCCTGCAGACAGCTGCTGCCTTCGACGGATGCTGCCGTTGGCGAGCCGCCACTGATGCTGCCGCCCCCAACAACGCTGCCCCCGCGGCTGATGCTGGCCATGCCGGTGAGGCTGCCGCCGCAACTCATGCGTCCGGCGCCACTTACACTGCCCCCGCCGTTGATGCTGTTGCTGCCGCCACTGCCTGTGTTGCCACCGCCACGAATGCTCAAGCTGCTGTCCGCATTCATGCTGCTGGCTGAGGGAAGGCTGCCGTTCATGCCCATGTGCCATGCAAGTGATGTGGCTGCGAGCATTACACCTGGCGGGCCTGCGGTCGCTGCGGCACACGTCGACGCCGGCGAGGGCGGCCTTGTGGGCGCGCAAAATTCCAACTGTTCCTTATGCCAGCGCTGGTGGTTGTGGAGGTGCTGCTGCTGCTGCTGCTGCTGCTGCTGCTGCTGCAGCTGCAGCTGGAGCTGCTGCTGATGCTGGTGCTGCTGCAGCGGCTGCTGTGTTCGGTGCTGCAGCAGTCGCTGGCTGCACCGCCCCATGTGTAGCTGCTCATCAACAGTTGCCTGCGCCAGGCGCGCTGCGGCACGGGTGCCAGAGCGTGAGGCCTGGCGCAGCTGTGATGGCGTGTGAGCAAAGAAGCAGAGCTGCGGGAGTGGGCGGTGTTGACGCGGTCTCAGGGGCCACTCCAGCCTCACCTCAAGCACTGGTTGCACCTTGCGCAGCTTGCACCCAAAAACCATTGTTAGCTGAAAAGGCGCCATGGCTATGGTCATGAAACCAACGACTTGGCTTGTAGGCTGTGCTGCTGATCATAAATACCCGCTGCTGGCTCATGGGCCTGCCCCTTGGGCGCAAGCTGATGCTTTCCATGCGCCCGCAAGAAGCCAGGCGTACCTGTCTGTCGCACTTGACGCCGTCCCGGCAGTAGAGAGTGCGGTAGCGGTCCGGGTGCAACCTGTGTGGAAGGGGACACGAGGGTGTCGGAGGTGTTGGACCCTTCCCAGCTTGCTGCACAGACCCGGTTTACTGCTCAGCACACCGCCACCCCAGCAACATGCTGCTGCTGAACAGCAGATACCCATCATTCCGCGTGCTGGCACCCACCACATCTCAAAGGTGTTGTGGCTGAGGCTGCACAAGTCACCCCTCGGGCAGTTCACGCCGTTCCTGTTGGGCGGTATGGGCGGTGACTTGTGGGTCGTCGAGCTTGCCAACACCGCTCGATCCATGCATGCCTGCCTGCTGCAATGCTTGTGCCAGGCTGTGACTCTGTGAGGTGTCCGTGCGCCAGCACGGGGTTACTGGTATTGCTGCAATGGGTGCCGATCGCACCCTGGTGGCCCGCTGGACCCTGGATCACCCCAGCCACCCACCTGGCGTAGTTGCAGAGATCTGAGAAGTACTGGTAGCTGTACGGGTCCCGCCGCCGGGCACGCTCTCCTGGGTGCGCATATGGGCACGCCCGCCTGCGCGGCAGAAAGCCGCCGAGCGGCACGGCGGGTATGACTGAGCGCGTGGGGCGGCTGCGCTCCGTGGTTTGGCGTCTTTGCGCACGACAAGCCCTCCCAGATGCACGAAACCTTTGGATGGATCGATCTGTGGCCAGATCTCAACCTGCTTCACTGGGTAGGACGCTGCCGCTGCAGCCAGCCCAGGGACGCAGCCGACGCACCAGTCGTGAGGTTCGATGATCCCGCACTCCACGATCTTGTAGCAGCGCATGTGGAAGTCATCGCTGAGGGTGACACACCCGCCCTTTGCGGCCTCATTCACTGGGAGGCCCTCTGCGCTGTCGCCCCCCTGCGTGGTGTGATCGGGGCGGGGTTGGGGTCGTCGACTGTTCAGATCCAGCATCGGCGGCTGCTGGCGGTGTACGCATGCCGCTTGGGCGTGCGGCCAGCCGGCAGCTGAGGGTATGATGTCAGCAGGCCGTTACCTTGCCCATGGATATCATGAAGGTGTGGCCGGGGGGCTCTAGCGTCGCAAATTCGGCTCGACTGCGCAGCGCCCAAGTGGTGTGGGCAGTGGTTGCTGCGTGCCTTCAGTTCGGCGGGCAAGACCTGGCTGCAGTGGGCTCCAAACAACGCGGCACGTTTGACGCGGCCTTGACGAGCAACACCTGGGGCCACCACGTCTCTGCTCGATGCGTAACGAGCTCTCGCGTCGAGGGACAGCATCCTCCCGGATGGATCAATTACGTTAGCCGAGGTGCTTCGTGCCAAGACACAACAAAACTGACAGCGCGGTGACATATGAGTGCAGTAACAGGTCTCGGAAACATCAAGCCTCTTGACAGCCGAATGACAGGCGTTCAGAGCGCCATCATGCTTTGCCCTCGCTGGTCAAAGACGACCTTGCACTGGAGCGATGCGGCGGCTGGTACAATTATGTTAGTGCTCTGATGGGCTTGCGGAATGGTCACCGAAAGAATCTGGGGCAGTCCAATTCTTGAAAGATGATCAGCAGATCAATCAAAGGCTGCCACGTTGAGGCAGAGCGCGAGAGCTTTGACCATGCCACAGCCGGCACCAACTTGAGTGCAAGCAGAGCGCAGGCCACCCGGGCCATATTACTTTGCATGCAGTCGGCTTGCACTCAGCCCCAGCATTGGCACGGACGATGATCTTCTCATCACGAACATCGTATCTTGTATCTATCCATCCGTGTACACAACCATGCACAACGAAGAACTTATGCAGATGTGTGCGCACCGGGGCGCTTGCAAGGTGCGAGTGTGCCCCAGCACGTCGCATACGGCAGCAGAAGGGTGGCAGCTTCTCCTTGGCAACATGCAGCGATGGGCACAACCCAGCGTTTCCTTGTGACTGGCGATGATGAGCTTGAGATCCTTGGTGGGTCAGGCTTCTGCTGGCCGCATGGGTGTTGACCCATGACAGAGCCAGATGTCGACCTTCCGCGCAGAAGGGTTGCTGTCTTCACGTTCTGCGCGGACCACCTCAAGTTCAGGATGTGAGTGCTCATAACATGCTAGGCTCAACCGAAAGCTTGTCATGTGAACAGTCTTGCGGCCCTTTCGCAAGGAACCCGTTTGTGTGGGGCATGCAGAGGCCGACATACCGCACGCCTGTGCACACATGACGCGCGGTGACTCCCGACCACGACCACGGGTGACGAGCGCAGTAGTAGGGGAGTTGCGCAACAAGGGAAGGTGGACGAGAGCAATCAGAGTCATCAGATATTTTTTTTATGAAATGGCTAAACAGGCGCTCTGTCAGGCTATCACGCCCCGTTACGGAGGTCACCACAGGAATAGAGTGACCGCCAGAAGATCGGTGCCCATGTGGAGTTCAGCGGCCCATGATAGAAATACGACCCCTGTGTCAATTGACATTCATGCAGATCACAAGCAGTCTGCAGCCCCCACTTGGATACTCGCACAGCTGTATAAAGCTCGCTCCGCCAAGATCGCAACACCGGCCACCTGCAAACTCCCCGAGCCACTGCAACCCGCAAGAATCATGGTTTACCTGTTCGTTTCCATCCCTCTGGACGGCCATATCAAGCCGGCACTGAGCGTGGCCGCTGCCTTGAACGGCCGACTTGCCGCCGCTGGCAGCAGCGAGGTGCGATTTGCCGCGCTGTCCCGGGACCGTGCCCGGGTCGAGGCAGCTGGAATCGAGTTTGTAGACCTGGGAGATCTGTCACCTGATGACAACCTTGAGCTGGAGCGCCTCAAAGCGGCCACAATTGGCACCTCTGACGCCGCGAGTGCCGCAACATTCGACGTGAGTGGGGCCCAGCTGAGAGAGGCGAGGAGCGCCGCGGCTCAGACCCAGCCGACGACGGCAGCCGATCTGCACGCCTTGGCGCGCTTGCCGCTGAGGGCAGGCACACATGAATACTTGATCGCGCACCTGCAGCCGGGCACGGCGCTTGGTAGGGGTGCACGAAGCTGCTGCTATCTGGAACGCAATGGGCCCTACGAGCCCCAGCCCCTTCGCCCCATCTGCACCCTTGGCTGAATTGACGACCTTGAAAGCAGCCCCCAAGTTCCATTCCACACCCTCATTCGCGGGGACCCCTGCCGCCTCCTCCTCGCAGATGTTCACTATGTTGGAAGCAAAGATGCTCCCGCCGCTTCTGAAGGCCATAGACACTGGGAGCGCTGACGTCATCGTCGCCGACTTTGCTGCCATGGTGCGAGGGTGCTAGCTCGAGCTCCGTGGGTGCAAAGTCGTACTCTGGGGCCATGGCTGCAAGCCTTCTGCAATTTGTGGCTGTGCTGGAATTTCGCAAACTCAGGCCCGCCCATTTCACGGCAAGTCACCGCCCTCCCCGCGTCGCCGACCACTTACCCCTCAGGCTGGCCACGACGCGGCCGAGGCGCGCCGCCTGCCGCTCGTCGTCCTGCAGCAGATCCCGCTCGGCCTCGCCCTGCTGTGCAGTGGCCACAACAGCTACAACCTGCCGAGCCACGTGCCCCTAGAGATGGCGGGCCCTCTGATGCAGCCGGAGCGCCTCAGCCTGCTGCAGCGCGCCGTCAACCCGCTCCTGAAGCGCTGGGTCTACACGCGCATCGCCGCCATGACGGGGCCCCGGCGCGCCGCGGCGCGGAAAGCGGGGGGCCTTGTGGCAGCCCAGGGTTTTGGGGATCTCGAGATGATGGGGTGGGGCGCGGCTGTGCCGCGTGTGATGAACCTGGTGTCGGGAGTCATGGACCTGGTGGGTGCCGCGCGCTTTTACTGGGCATTTCGCCTTGACACGCGGCGCTGATGGGGACTTGAGAGCTTGGAAGGCGGGGTGTGCACGGGCCGGGAACTCGGTTGGTAGCACTTCGCAACTGTGCTCGCGAGTGCAGTGTGCATCCAGCCCCACATCAGCGTGCACCAGCTTTGCTTGACCCCCCGGACGCCATATCTTGCCCCACTCCCTTCCCCCGCCTGTCCTTCTTTCAATGCAGGAGGTGGAGCGCGAGCTGCCGCCTGGTTGGCACATGACTGGGCCGCAAAATGTCGCCATCAACGACCAAACCTTCCCGATGCCTCTTGAGGACGGACCTGTGCGCGACTTTTTGACACAGGCAGAGGGTGCGTGCAACGGGCAGGCCTGGTCAATGGTGGTTGCCCTAGGGTTGAAGCGGATGCGTTTTGAACGCACGCACAGCTGTGACAAGCCTGGAGTACGGGTGCTTTGCGCTCTTTCCTGCAAACCCACCAGCCGCAGCGAACTTCCTGTTGTCCGGAGCCGCCGCCAGCGCCTCTGCCCAACACGCCCACGGCAACCGGACGCGGCTCGCCCACACATATGCCATTTGCAGAGGCCGACCAGCCCGTGGTGTATGTTGCGACTGGCACCATTGTGCGGCTAACGCAGGGCCAGGTCGACGCGGTGGTGGAGGCCATGCGGGCTGTGGAGGGCGCCCGCTTCGTGTGGAGCCTGCCCAAGGTGAGCGGGGGTGGGGTGTGGTGGGGAGCGGCCTTGCCGGAACAGGCACAGTACCCTGGCTCGTTCCACCCCCCCATCCAACCACAAATTCTTCCTCTGTCATTTCATCGCTTCTGAGGCCTTCAATTCAAGCAAGCCTCATCATAAATGCCGCACAAACGCTTTCCTGGTCTCTCAGGAGTCCCAGCTGCTGCTGTCGAGCGACTTCCATGCGTGGTCTCAGGGCAGGGTGCTGGTCCTCTCGTGGGCGCCGCAGCAGGCACTGCTCAGCAGCTCTCAGGTCGAGCTCTTCGTCACACACGGCGGCCTGAACAGGTGGGGCCCCGGGTTGCCAGCACACAGGAGCCTTTCGTCCAGTGCTGCACGCGCACTGGGGCGCAAGACACTGCCTGCGTTGCGCCCCCCCCCCTGTCGGTCGCGGCAATTAAAAGGCACACGTGGTGTGGGGGCTTTCAGATGGCCTCGGCACTGCATTCATGCTAGTAGGGCGGTTAAGCAGCTCAAGGCCATTCTGCTTGAGAACCCCGGCTTGTTCCCACGTGTCTGTGATCCCTTTCACCCACCCTCTCCAGCACGTACGAGGGCCTGGCTGCCGGCAAGCCGCTGGTGGTGATGCCATTCTTTGGGGACCAGCCCGTCAACGCACAGCACATCGTCAACAAGGGGCTCGGGGCTCAGGTGCGCCGGGCCGAGCCTAAGCCAGTTGACAAGTGGGCGACTGGGGTTGTATGCACCCTGCATCAGTTTGCGTGGAGGTGCCTTGCAATGCAGACACCCAGCTCTTCCACGCGTGAAGGTGCACGCCGTGCAGGCACCGTTGCGGTTGTTGGCACGGTATCCGAGGGCGTTGACCACGCTCCTGCCTCCCTGAAACTGCCCCCACAGGTCGACCCATGGACCCTGACGGCAGCCAAGCTGACGAGGGCTATTGAGGCGCAGCTGGCGGACAGGGAGGCCGCACGACGCGTGGCGGAGCTTGGGGCGCGCCTGCGGCGCCAGTCGGGCGCGCAGCGGGCTGCGGAACTTTTGGAGCGTTTTGGGCGGCAGTAGGCGCGATGGGCTTGTCCGTGAATTTGTTCTGGTACGATTGCATCATCAGCAAAACAATGGCCCTTATGCATTGCTCGCCACCTCATCTTGGGGTCAACACAATAGTCAACGGTGTACCAAGGTGGTTGGCTGGCAAACACCGAGGAGTCATCTACTGTTGTCTGCACATAAGTATCGCAAGCCGCTGCTGCTGCTGGTGGTGGTGGTGGTGGTGGTGCTGCTGCGGCAAATTTGGGTGCACCGGCTGTGCAGAAAGTACTCAAAGACCCACACAAGTTTCATCGCTGCATGCTTTTGCATCTGTGCCTCCTTACCCCAAGTGGCTCAGTTGCTGGCCACGCTATGCTTAGTCACGCATCAACACAAAAGAGCTGTACCAGCAATCTTCCTATTATTGCCATGCGAAATACTACCCATCACCGTGTGTGATGCTCATCCCATCCTGTGGGCGTCGGTGACCGGAAGTTGGGGTGGTGCCGACCTACAGACGCGCTGGGGTTTTTCAAGTGTTGGGCGCGCTGCTTGTCACGCAGATGCTGACTTGGGCCGGGTGCTGCAAGTAACGGTGGTGAACACCCTGTGAGACGGGTGTGCATGATCAAACACCAAGCCAGCACGGTCATGCCCCTTTGATCATGCAGGGCGCTGTAATTTGCTCGCTCGTATGCTTGGGGCTTGTGCTAGGAGGCCCGGTGCGAGGATGACAGCCCCCCAGGACACCTTCGGGCGCTCACATGCAGCCGCACGATTATGAAGGCGACTTTTCAAAGCTTTATTGGAAAACAAGTCACCAAACACGTTGATGGATTGGAGGAGTGGGGAGAGACCCGTCAGCTAGCTGTTTTGCGCTTGCTTTTCGAATTGGGTTGATGAGGCCCTGCAAACAATATTACCAGAGTGACATGTATGTAATAATTACAACGACACTTGCATACACCTAGATATGCGCCCGCAGGCACTAGCTGCGTCTGTGCATTCTGCGCGACAACATCACGCCTGAGTTCAAGGTGCGACGTAATTTTTGAGTATCAATAATCATCCCAGTGAATTCTGAGAGGCCAGGGCGACATTTTGAAGGTGCGCGCAGCAGGCATGGACGCCGTGGCACACGCATGACGGGACTGGAAATACATACGACCTCCATAAAAGTTGTGATATCTTCACATATCCCACAGGGCACAGCCGCGTTCGTTAGCGAGCGGCGCTCCGTGTGTGCGTCCGCTGTGCCTCGTCGCTGCGCAGCGCGTGCAGCAGCAGCTGCCGAAGAGGAGGCAGGATGTACCGCGCCGTGAGCAACGAGGTGCAGGCGCAGCCGCAGGCACAGGCACAGCCCAAGTTCAAAGTGAGCACGATATGAATGGGCCGTTTGCCCTCGAGCAGGGCGTGCTTGGAGTGTGCAGCTCCTCCCAGCTGCGGCAGCAGGCGCCGCCAGCACCGGGGGCATGGCAGCGGCGCAAACGGGCCCCGCTCTGCCGCAACTCACGAGGCTACACGCCCTCACGCCGTGACTGCGACCTGGCCGCAGGTCCTGAAGGCTTTGGGGCGCGGCAGCTATGGGACTGTCTATAAGGTGCAGCGGCTGGCAGACGGCCAGGCGTATGCCATGAAGGAGACCGACATTGGGAAGATGAGCCACCAGGAGCGCAGCGACGCAGGTGCGCCCCCTGATTGTGTGAATGACACCACGCGCTTTCTTTTCTCGTCGCGGCCTCGCTCCAACCGACTCGAAGCCTGCAACCGGGGTTTTCTGAGCAGCCACGACAGCGCTGCGCTGCTGGCGACGAAGACTATGCCACTCAACCTTCGGCCACCTTCGCCTGTGCTGCTGCCCGTCCCTGATGGCGCGCTGCCGCCCACCCTGCACACAGGCGCTCCGCTCCCTCAGCTCTGGCCGTCTAACTGTCTAACTTGCCGCCCACCTCCTTACGCGGCCCCTGTTCCGCCCCTCCTCCCCCCAGTCAACGAGATCCGCGTGCTGGGGTCCCTGCGCCACCCCAATGTGGTGCGGCAGTATGAGACCTTTATGGCGGGCAACAAGCTCTGCATCGTCATGGAG